ACCATGACTGAACCCAACACAGTCACTGCAGCTGTTGTAGTAACTTGTGGTGCTGATAACCAACATGATCAGCAGATCGGACAAGGTCAGTCTCAGGCCATCACTGAATCCAGCCCAAGAACACCAGGAACTTGTGACCTTGATCACCAGCACGAAAATTTTAACCAACATGATCAGACAGGACAGGGCGAGTCTCAACCCTTTGATGTTATAAATCCAACATATAACATCGGTGAAACTGTTCCACAGATAAATACACAGAGCCTGTACAAAGATGAGGAACAGTCCCAGGACATTACTGAGTCCTGCACAACTCCAACAGCTAGTGTGGTTAGTGGTAATGATCAGGCAGGGCAAGGTCTGTATGAGGCTACAACACAACCTTTGGAGGTTAGAAATCCAACATATAGCACATGACCTATACAAAAGTGTGTACAACAAATAGACTAATACACAGCGTCCCCCACTTCCCAACACGACATACTCATGCCCAGCCTCTTCCCCACTCCTCACACTCAGCAAATGTAGCCTAATGCTCAGCCACCCTGCTGCCCCACACTGTAAAATTAATGTGCTCATGCCCAACTTCCCCCACCCCATATAGCAAATGTGCTGATGTCCAGTCCCCCCTTCCCGTACACGACAAATTTGTGTATATGGACGCACCATAAAAGAGCCCCAAATTTGAAGGTGCCGATCTGAGGCAATTTGTTAAGGACAGGGTCCTTGAAATAGCTATTTAAAAGAACCGTCCTGAAGATACCCTCACACACACACACACACACACACACACACACACAAGGAAAATGTACTGATACTCCCTCTGACAAGCCAGCAGAGGCCTACAACCTGCATGCCTATGAAAATAATGACCTTGAATAGCATCCTGAAGATCAAACACCCTTCTTCAATGTTAACAAAATAAATATACTAGATTTTTTCAGATACATTAGTATGAAAAATAACCGCTCTATAGACAAACCAAAAGCCGTTTTCGTTTCTTCATGCTCGAGCTCCCTGAACCTAAATGCGTTCGAATTAAAATCAGCCTTTTGGTATAATATATCATTCCGGTTCTCTAGTATCCAAACCCAGCCACAGCTGACCCAACATATTTTCAGTGATAACCTCCTAGAACAGTTCAGAAGTTGCATTTGGTTCAGTTGTAGAGTGAAATGTTTTAAAGAATACTTCCTATAGAACAGTACTTAAGTGCACATCAAGTGTACATTTCAATATACTGTTAATGTAGTATCTATTGGTGTACCATTGTACGGTTACAGTATTGACTACTTTTTAATGGATGGTCATATATTGTATCCATTTTGTTAGTAATACATAGCTGTGAAAGTTGGCGCAAAACCTACTAAAATGGCAGATGCTGCTGGAGTTTTTTTAAGTATGGCAGATGTTGTTATATTCTATATACTCTGGATGTTCCTAGTAATACAAGGAAGTTTCTCAGCATGTTAAGTAGAAATAGATTTAGATGCGTTGTTGTTATTGTTGTGCTTTGAGAAAGTCATATTTGGCCTAATAGTTTTAGTCCTGGTTTTGATTGTAGTAGATGAAAACCCATCGCAAACACACAGACACACTCAACAAGCTGATGATAATGACGATCTGACGATACTCAACTGAATGTGTTAATATCAGACTTAAGACAATGTAAGCATGTAAAGTGTAAATGTTTGGCCTAGGAATAGTTTTCAATGTAAAAAAAAACAGACAAGCATTCGTCACAGACAATTACACTCTGAACAGTAAATATTGCCGAAAACTGGTTATATCACGTACAGAACATTGTATGATAGACACTGGCAAGTGTAGAAATTTCCTAGAGCAGTACTGCAGTTTAGTAATAAACGCACCGGTCCAACTGTACATGTGAATTACAATCTGCCACTACTTTACATGTAGTACTAGTATCTGATATCCGTGGTGTTGCTGTACTGTTACTTAACAGTAGTAACTTCTATGAATTAATGTATTGTATGTTACATGGCTGTAAACGTTGAGGCAAAGTCTAGACTTAACGGCAGCGTTATGGGCCCCCGGCAAAAAAGAGTCAATTGCTAATACATTATGATTTAACATTTAAAGCAATTCCTTGGCTTTTTCCTTTTTTTCTCCTGTTATTTACAATGTTAATGCATTAAAATGTTCCTTATTTGAAATTTCAACCGGACTGGTATGTTGACTTCATGGCTCCTGTAGTAGTATTGGGTTTTATAACATTACAAGATGTCTTGTTGCTTTTCCTCTTAATTTTTGTTTGGTCCTATCATTTCCTGCAAAATTCTGCGAGCCAAGTAAATAAAATCAGTATTGCATTTACTGATACGCGAGTAAACTAACCTTTTACTAACTATGACGAGAAAGATCGGAGAAATGATTTGTATTTAGTAATACAGTGTACCACACATTGACGCCCTGTCCACATTTTTATAATGATTATGCGTAAATATAATTTTAAGAATTCTTAAATTTAATCTTGTTTTAATTGTTTTCCAATAACTCTCACCAGAAAGGTCCAAGCAGCATAAGGTGCAAAATGCAACATATACAGGGTGTAAAGAACGTTAACCTGCCCATATGAACAATATTAATATTCAAATTTGCAGACTCAGACAATCAATGTTTCAAGGATATACATCTAAGCAAGTATATTTTTCAACAAACGTTTAGTGGCTTTCAAAAATTATAGCAGATTTCAACCTACATGCTTTTATATATTCTTTTTCAAATATCGAAGATGGTATAGAATGCTTTGCCCATCATGCGACGGTTTGCAACGTTTTGAGAAACAAAAAATAGGGTTATTCATCATTGTAAAATATGTATAATTATTCAAATACCCAGTTTCATTAAATCAACACAACCATATAAATAAGATTAATTCAAATTGTTTTTCCACACTGCACTCCGGATCAGAAACTGCGGCACGTGTATTACAAGCCCAACAGCAAAAGGGCAATAAAAGACATATAGTTAGTAACTTCCTGGCAAGAAGGGCCCAACTGAAGAGGTATTCTGACAAGACTGAAAGTTAAGTTTGGATCAACTTTATACTGGTAAGTCGTCTCTCTAGGCACCATATGACATGTCACGTACGCCATAACATACATATACATGTATTACGTCCAGTAGAACATACTATGCCTGTTCGAAGCCCGTATTGTGCCCAGTACTTGAATGGT